TATATATATATATATAAAATATATATAAAATATATATATAGAGAGAGTTATAATAATAATTCTTGAAGTAAATTAGTTTCTTTTTAGATTTATTATAATGTACATATAATTAAGTATAAAGTAGCGTATCCATGACTTATGCATTCGCCAACGTGTCAACATGCTCATGACTGATATAGCCAAATGTAAAAGTTTAGGTTCATATATCTATTTATATTAAATATAGTTAGATGGATTAAGGAATCTTTTCTCCAAGTCTTTAGTTAGATAAATTCATGGAGAGTCTCTCTGTGAAAACGTTGCAGATTTCTAGGAAGGTCCTTTCTTGTCTTTGAAATTGCAGCGATTTCTTTTACGATACTTACAATGTATATGACAAAAGAAGCGTTTAATATTTAATGCCTTCTGCGGTGTATATAATGTATATTTCCATAAAGTTGCAGATGAATAAATTCATTTGTAGTAAGACATATATATCACATTAATTTATACTCTTTCTGTCCAAATATAATAAGGTTCAATAAATGCGGTATCCTCTTCCTTCTTTTTGACAATTTTTGTGGAATTTTTATGATTCTGAAGTTAAAGAAAACATAAGTACATATTGTACAAACATATTTTATTAAAAAGTTTCGTTTTATAGGAAAATTGATCATTCGCAACAAATCGATTTATAGATCGATTACCATTATAATCAGTAAATAAAAAAGCAAGAATATAGTCATTCGTATATAAATCATATTAATTTAAAGAACGCTAGAAAATAAAAGTATTATACAAGTAATATGATATCGATACAAAAGATACAAAAAGATTCTTAGATATTCAATTAAATCGATGGGCCATTTTATAGACCAGAACGCAATAATTAATAAATACATTGTATACGCACGCGTTCAAATTAATAATAATATATAATTTCTTTACAATAATTAATCGAATTAAACAATATCGCTGTTAATATGTATTCTTTCCGAAGACAATTTGCATTTTATTATTGAAAATTAAGATTCATTGTGATCCAGCTCATTTTTCTAATTACGTAATCTTTATCTCCAGCTGTAGATCTCACATACAGATGTTTTTTAGATGATAATCTCATAGATTATATCTTTATTGATAACAAAACAATTTCTTATTAGCTGCCTTATACTTAATAAGATTTCGTTAGAAAAATTTTAATCGATGAAGGCGACATTAATTAGAAAAGTCGAGTAATTGATTTTATTCTGATTTTCAGCGGAGTTATATTTGGCCAAATATTGTCGATTTTGACTATGTATAAACGTTCTCCTTGATCTAACTATCTCGATCGAGAGAATCTAAGGTATCGTTGCTCGATGAATGCGCGAGATCACTTAGCTCGTCCAAATGCTTCTGTCGCTTTCTGACATTCCAGTGAAGGCATTCAGCTAAAGAATCGAACCAGTCGGTAATTTGGTCGGCTGCGCAAATGCTAGGCACCGGGTATATAGAGGTGGTCACCTTCAAACTGAAAAATTATGCGATTTATTCTAATTAATCAATTTGATAAAATTAATCTAACTTAAAGCTAATACAGTTGAAAGTTTACTTTGTAGCAAAATAAATTGTTACAAATAAAATTTATTTAAATCGCTTCTTAATTATTTATGGTTTTGTGAAAAATATTTTTATAAGAAAATTTATAAGAAAATTTTATAAGTTCACATATTTGTTAAAAATAGTGTATTCTTATGTAAAAGAGAATAATTATATTGTGCGCTGATTTTATTATGATAAGCGAAAGCCTTTGGTTTAATGTTTATGCATAAAACGTTTATCGTAAGTATGAATAATAAATTATTAAATACCATCACCTTGCAGTACAGCTAACGTCTCCAGAGGTATTTTAAAGTAAAATATTGGCAACAAAAAGAATATGAAAATTAAGCAAAGAATAAATGAGCATGTAGCAGATAATTTTTAAATATGATTTACAAAAGTAGAGACCATAAATTTCGTCGTATAATATAAAATAAAAAGAAATGAGAAACGTCCGATAATGTGAAATAAAAAAAAAATGAAAAGAGTACTGACATAAACTTATTTGATTTAAATTATAAGTTTGATTTAAACTTTGGTTAAATTTTGTAATAAACATCTAGCCAAGCTCATAGCATCTTATTTTTTATTTAAATATAGATTTGATTTGAAATAAGCTTATTAGAAGAAGGTATTTTATGTGTCATGATTTACAGAATTTATGAGTTAAAAAAAATAATTACAGATTCGTATCGTTTAATGCAACGAGACATAAATATAGAAAGAAAAGCGATATGGTGCTCTTTAACGAAAACAGAACAAACCTGTCGCCGACACGCAATTCTTGCTGATTGCGGCCATCGAAGGAGACATAAGCTGTACTGCGAGCATTGCTGTTCGCCATTATCTGAAATAATTGTAGAAAAGACAAATGATTAGACAGAGTTGCCGAACGTTTTACCTGTCACCGTGGAAGAGTTCCTGTCTATTTCTACCGTCGAAGGACACCCACGAAGTATTTCTGCTGTCGGGTGAAACCGAGATCTACAGTGGAAAGCAAGATGATCATGTTAATTGCTGCTGATTATAGCCGTATTGCGTTAATTCGTTAGACCTTTTTCTGAAGTCTGTTGCTTAACAAGTCTTTTTATAAATTTCGTTATTGTCATTCTGAAAGATATAAGAAACAATTTAATATAAATATAATTTTCAAATTCGAATAAACTAAATTTAATTTAGTATAAATTTTAAATTGGAATAAATTAACATATTTAAAATAATTCCCAAATTTATGAAAAATTAACGAAAGAATTTTTTTATTACGGAAACGATTTGTCATAATAGGTTCTTTCGTGAGAAGAAATAACATATTTCCAATAAGTTTGAATATTTTGAAAACTTTTGAATGAAAACTTCAAAATAGCATTTAGCCTAAGAATGTGCTATGTATCTGAATATAAGGAATCAGATTTCCTTCTATTGAATATTGGTCTGAACCATATTTCATACAAGCACAAAAAAAGAATCGATTCAAATGAAACTAATTCTAATACCTATTATAAATCTTAAGACTAATGAAGACTCAATTCAATTGTTATCAATAAGTCAAATGTTATAATATATTATATTCTAATCGTTTAGGACTACATTTACAATTTGGTTTTCTTTCAAAAAAATTAACGTCGATCCTCCAGGGTATGTCGATGCGATTTAATTTTTATATCATTTATTATTTTTTAATTGATTGATTAGATTAACCTATTCTTCATTACACGCGAATGAATATTGGAAGAATGACGAAAGATTTTTGGCAATTTTGATTATAAGAATCGCTATAAATTATCAAATTATATTGAATACATTTATACTATTCGGTACTTTTGTAATTTTGCGATCTTTTTTTTATATCTTTTTATGTTACTGAGGATGGCCTAATAAAGGTCGAAATGTTTAGCATTGTATTTAAATTAAGATTAAAATTCATTTATTAGCAACCTGCATTGACTCATAGCCTTTATCATTTAAGTTGTTTCAAAATGTTATAACTCTTAAATGAAAATTTTTTCTCTTTTTGAGGTGGGCCATAGATTTCGTTATTATAAAAAATTCAAAACGGATTGAGGTGAATTCCAGTATCTATACTATAAATTTCAAAAGAATTGAATAAGTTGATTTTATTTTCATGAATAAAATTAAAAGGTTTGTTTCGAAATTGTTAAGAAATTTTTAATCCGCCACCATAAATGTATAAAACGTTCCATTAGCGTGTTTCTTCTTTTTTTTTTTTAAAGATTAAAGAAACTACCTTGAGCTCGACCCCGGCAGGTACGACAATCGGCCTGAAGGACAGAGAGTGAGGGCAGATTGGTGTGATCATTATGGCAGGAACTGAAGGATGAATCATGCTGGCTCCAGCAGCAACTGCATAAGCGGTCGACCCGGTCGGCGTACTCACGATCAAGCCATCACCCTGGACGCTTGTTACGTGTTTGCCATCAATGAATAAGTCGATATTTGAAAGGTAAGGTGAGGGCCCTCGATCCACTACAACTTCATTCAATATCAAGAGATTTGTTGGTGGTTCAGTCAACTGACTGTCTTCATTCTTACGTATAATTATGCACCTCAGACGACTCCTTAAAGTTAAAGCCGCATTACCTAGAACAAGATACAATGTAAATTTGACGATTAAAAAAAAAAAAACGTAAAATTAATAACTAACCTTCAAGAACATTGGTCACTTGTTCTTGAAAATTATCAAATTCGAAGGGTGTAAGAAATCCTAAGGAACCAAGGTGGAATGCCATTACAGGTGGCACTGACTGTTGGAACAACAAACTGGCATAAAGAAGTGTGCCGTCGCCTCCCAAGCAAACGATAAAATCAATTTTATCCTGAAAACAAAAAGTAATGCACTCCATTTAAAAGAAGTAATAAAAAAAAAACAGTCATTGAAAATTAATAAAAATTTTTATTTTATCGTTTATTAATCCTTACTTTTCACAATATTGTATACTTTTATCATCCAGTAACTAATTAAATTGGATCCGATATAAATTAAATTTTAGCCTTATAAGCAACAAGTTGTATAACAAACATGTAAATTATAATTTTTGTTATAAATATTTTAAAATAAGGTTGTCATTACCTGCAAATCATCTGTGCCGTCCCTAAAGGTTTGTAATCTATCGCGAACACTTTGAAATCTAGAATCTCTGGCTAGGGCTGCATCTTCCAGAACAGAAGCTTCCACAAATACAACCATTCGTTTTGCCTGCATTAAAGAAAAATCAAATGAA